GTAGGCCAGGTTCAGTAAGACGTGGGGGTTTTTTAAATTCATATAGGTGTGTTTCTTAAAGCTTTTTATTCGTTTGTTGTAGTTGGCTTTAGCATTTATACTGTGCTGCAAGTCTCTGAGTCACTTTTGTAAGGCAACTAAGTAATAATAGTATTTGTGTGTCGAGGTCCCCAGGGCCACCCCAATAACTCACACATCACACAGAATTTTTGTTTAAGATTTTTGGCATAATTTTGGCCACAACTTTATTGAAATACAAATTTGTGAGTGGTTGCTTAGGCATTGGTTGCGACTATCTGCCCCCACCATGGGGGACAGACTGACATTCCGCACGATGCGAAAGTCAGAATAGGGGGTAGCGACGGAGCAGGGAACCTGCCCTCAGCCCAAATGCAACCAGGAGCTCATTGATATGGTCTGAGCCCCCTTGACAGAGTGGACAAGCAATAGTTAGCCCCCAATTCCTTTAACGGAATCCCTTGCAGCAGCAGCATTAGAGGGGCAGGCACAGCCAATCTATGCCCCTCAACCAACCAAACCATAAACCAATGCCTAACCGCAACCTTACAAGTTGTGACAATTTGCTACGCAGTAGGCAAAAACCAAATGGCCCCAGCCAATCAGCCAGATGGACAAAATTCCTACTGGGCCCCTGCCCCAAGAGCAGATGACCACATGACAGGCATAGCAAGGTCAAAGCGAACAACCCTAATTCTAGGGATGGGGGGACGGGCAATCCGATGCACGGGCAAAAAGAGAAAGCCCTAGCCTCGTGCAAGGAGTTTTAGCATTTCTGGCTGTCAATCAACAAATGGCAACATTAACTTCTTCCCAACAACAAGGGAAGCCCCAATCGCATCAGTGGCCAACAATCAATTAGCCCACCCCCAACTTTGGAGTGTCCTGGCGGCCCCCACCACAACACGTGCTCTCCATGAAGGAGAACACGCTTAATAATAACAACTGTTACTTCCCGACTGTCATTCCCAGCTCCCCCCCCCCCCCCCCTCACTCCCAGGTATATAATAAGCTGGACAGCAGAGTTGCTTAGAGTATGGTGCTGATAACACCAAGGTTGCAGGTTCAATACCTGTATGGGACAGCTGCATATTCCTGCATTGCAGGGGGTTGGACTAGATGATCCTCAGGGTTCCTTGCAACTCTACAGTTCTATATTTCTAAGTACAGTGGTACCTCAGGTTAAGACCTTAATTTGTTCTGGAGGTCCGTTCTTAACCTGAAACTGTTCTTAACCTGAAGCACCACTTTAGCTAATGGGGCCTTGCGCTGCCGCTGCGTGATTTCTATTCTCATCCTGAAGCAAAGTTCTTAACCCGAGGTACTGTTTCTGGGTTAGCAGAGTCTATAACCTGAAGCATATGTAACCTTAAGCATATGTAACCCGAGGTACCATTGTAATCTCTCTTCTCTCCCTGCCCCACCTCTCCAAACACAAGCCCCGATTACAGTTAATTATACAATATTCAAGCAAAACAAACATTTCTGGTTTGAGACACCAGGAGCCATGTTCTGCCAACAGGTGGTTTGGGCCAATGTGATATCCCTTCCCTGATTCCTGATAAGGGCAGGCAGCCCCACAAGTGATGCACTTCTATTGATGGCCTTGACCATATGAAGCATAGCTTAGCCCTCATGCCAAAGTTTTATCTAAGGCCAAGTAGACACGCATCAGTAATGTGCACACAGCCTCCACTCAAATGAACATCTCCACTAATTTCTGTGAAAGAGGATAGTTCTGTGACGTGCACATTGAGGTGAGCCAATGGAGCTGGCCTCAGTGGGAAGTACTTGTTCAGGCCAGCTCTAAACATTACACTCATCTTGTGATGTTCTCATGGGATGTATTTGCTCAATTGCAGTCTTGATCACATCCAGGTGGCTCGTGTCTCCCACTTCCCACCTCAGGAATTCCCTGATTGTTTGTCATGCTTCCTATTCTCCTGGCACACGAGCAAAGTTTACATTAAAGAATACAATCCGTCTCTCATAATATTCAAACTCAGGACCATCCAATGAAGCTGCACGCTGGTGGATTAAAGACAAGACAAAAGAAAAATAATTATTCACACAGCACATAGTTAAGTTGTGGAATGAACTCCCCATAGAGGCAGTGATAGCCACCAACGTGGATGGCTTTAATGAGGGCTAGAGAAACTGATGGAAGATAAGGCTGTCAGTGGTTACTAGCCATGATAGCAATGTTCTGCCTCCACTCTCAGAGGTAGCAAGCCTCTGGATACCACTTTCATGGGGATTACCAGTGGGGAGAGCACTGTTGCACTCAGGTCCTACATGCCAGCTTCCAGTAGGCACTGTGTTAACAGGATGCTGAATTAGGTGGGTCTTTGGCCTGATCCAGCAGGGGTTTCCTCGTGTTCATAATATAGCTTCCCTTCTTAACCCTGCCTCCCCTTCTTTCTGTTCTTTCCACTTTGTTCAATTTTAGGTTGCAAGTTCCATGGGGCATGAACTTATCATCTTGTACCTCTTGTAAAGTGCCATGCACACTGATGGTGCTATATAAAATGATGGTGATGATACTATATAAGATTATGATGATGATACATTCAGTTCTGCTTGGGAGGAAGTTATTTGTCTGCCTGAACAGATTGTGCAGTGGCCAGAATGGAAGATAATCTAGCCCTCTTTTTGTCTGTGTAGTTATCAGTCAAAAGCACTGGCACATAGGGAAGGTAGTCAGCAGTCTGCCTAAGCAGATTGGCCAAATTAGTTAAGAGCAGACATTATGGAAAGAGAGCATTAGTTAAGAGCAGACATTATGGAAAGAGAAATCAAAACTTCTATTTCAGTACTACCAGTGGTGTCTGGTGCCCATTGGGATGGATAGGGTAAAAGCATGGAGATCAAACAGTAGTTGGAACTAGAGCCAGTGACAGGCAGAATCAATTAATTTTAGATTTCTCCCAGTCCTCCTTCCTTCTGAGTTCTTTACTGAGGCTAAGGAGGAAGAGGCTGATAGGCAGTGCTGCCCTCTGACTGATTGTAAGTAAGAAGGCAGACACTTGGGGGCTGGCTGAAGGCAACCTGAGGTGGGTGGGACAGTTCCCCCTTAGCCCTAATGGAGTAGTCTCCACTGAATACTACCAATGCCTAATGGGAGATATGTTTCTACAATGCAATTATACCTATATCATCTATATCTATATCTATATCTATATCTATATCTATATCTATATCTATATCTATATCTATATCTATATCTATATATTAGGAAAGCTATCATGTTCAACTATGGAGGGGGGAGGAGCATTGGTGTAGCGTGGTTGCCGGTGCCCGGGGCATGCTGGGGGCAGGGTGTAGAGGGTGAACGGAGCCTGCCGTGTGAGCCCTCGCCCACTGACACTGCCAGAGCGATGCCAGTCCTAAGCTGATTTGCGAGGCTGGGATCTAATCTGAATGATTCACCCATCTTTGTGTGTGCGTTTGTGTGTGACAGTGTAGACACTTAATAAGATGGACATTTGTCATGGTAGTATTGAGCCATCATGGTCAATGGCACTTTACAGAGTAATAAGAAAAGGCTATGTTCCTGTCCCAGTGCAAGGGAAGCAAGAGAGGGATGAGAAGAAGATGGGTGAGAGGTTAAACAGAAGAACTCAGTTCAGTTCAGTTACACCAGCGGTGGGAAGCCTTTTGCACTCCAAATGTTGTTGCACACTTAACTCCCATTAGCCTTATCCAGCATGGCCAACGATCAGGAACGATGGGGAGTAGTATTCCAGCAACACCTGTAGTGCCACAGGTTGCGCACTAATGAGTTAGACATAGGCCGTATCTGTGCTATCCATTTAAAGCACTAGCATGACTTCCAAAGAAATCCGGCAATTGTAGTTTGTTAAGGGAGAGAACCACTGTTTCCCTCACAGAGCTAATGTTTCCAGAGTACCAATGAAAGATGGATAGGTGGTTATACCACTCTGAAAATTGTAGAGTAGGGGTTTTCTAACAATTCTCAGCATACCTAACAAACTGCAATTCCCAGATTTCTTTGGGGGAAGCTGTGACTGTTGGTTTGATACTGCTTTAAATGGATAGGAAGCAGCTAGCTGTTGACTGAAATTGAAATGCTGTGATGAATTGGATCCAGTGGAAACTCTTCCACTAGGGCTACTGGGGCACAGCCCTGCCAAAGATAATGTCCTGTGTGTGTGTGTGTGTGTGTGTGTGTGTATCCCAAATCTCAAAGCTACACATGTAATAACAGTGACATCCCCAAGACAAAAGGAATGTATTCCTTTAAGCAACAGTAGCGGCTAGATAATTATTGGCTGAAAATTGGAAAACAGAAAAAATACCAGATATATCAGAATGATGAGCTAAAATCTGAGAATTTGTGGAGATGGCAAAATTAATGGCAACAATTAGAGGCTGTTCCAACCAAAAAAATGTACAAAGAGTGGGAGTACATAAAGGAATACATGGAAAGATTTAGTTTTGAAGCTTAAATTTAATATGCAATAGGTAAAATGCGCAAGGATACAAGATGATATCATGACATATATGGAACAACAAATACAAACTTTTGTTAACACAACAAGAAACAATATTAGGTTGAGAAGATCGCACATGGGCGAAGGGAAGTAATGAGAACGGGGGAAGGGAGGTGTAGGGCAGCATTTGGAAAATTGTTAAAGATATATATGTGATTTAAGAGGTTAAGAACAAGGAGTTAAAAGAAGATTAACATAAATGAAAAGAAAAGTCATGTTCTTGTTTGTGTTATGGTTTATTTTGGTTGTAAAATCCTCTTATGTGAAGAGGATTTTTAAATTTTTACAATTAAAAAACAAAAACAAAACTTAAAACTTAAAAAATAAATCTCAAAGCTACACATGCTTTCCCAATCCTAGTAAATGCTTCACAGCTTTGGGTGTGATTTTGGGCTTAGGATCATAGAACTGTAGAGTTGAAAGGGACCGTGAGGGTCAACTAGTCCATCCCCCTGCAGTGCAGGAATCTTTTGCCCAATGTGGGGCTCAAACCAACAGCCCTGAGATTAAGGGTGTCATGTTCTACCAACTGAGCTATCCATTCTGAGTATTTTGCTTTATATTCTCTTTCTCAATACATGTAAAACAACAACAACAACCTAACAGGATGCCTATTCATCTGGAATGAGTGCTAGAAATTAAAACCATGCCCTCTGAATAGAATCTAGGATGCTATTACAAGGTATGGCAAACAAGCTCCATAAAAGCAGTCTTCCCTTTGCCTCAATAAATGCAGTGTTGCTTGTGCCCTTGGTTAGGTCCTAGTTTTATTTCCTGTTTATTCTGCCACCCCATGGGTGGCAGCTTTCAGTGTATACATCGTGAATAGTGGGTGTTAAAATTCAAACACACACATCAAAGCCTTTGTATTCCACCCACAAAGAGAGTGACCTGTTTAGGGACATTCCATACTTATCCTTTCTGTTGTGGTTGTCATGGCATCATCACTTTGCCAATTAAGATTTTTATGTCTTTAACAAATTAACAAATACAGCTCTACTCCCTCCATGTGCTTCTGTTGAAGGTAGCCCTAAAGGGGGCACCATTCAGATGTGAAGATCTATTACAAGATTGAAATAGATTTCTAATGCTTATATCATTCATCTTCGCAGTGTGTGATTTCAATCAGGAGGAGAAAATGATGAATTGTTTGACAGGGGTTCTTTTCTCCCCCACCCCCTCTCCCTTTCCCACCCATAGACGCTAAACCGTAATATGCTTCCCCTAGTCTTTTCCTAGCTATTACGGACTTTAACATGCAATGTGACCTTGGTTGGCAAACCATGTTTGGTTAGCACAAAAACTTAATCATAAGAAGTCATAAGTAGAATCCTTCTTCTTTACTGCCCCTTTTTTCGGGGACTTGGAAATTTATGGCTTGTGGGACAGGTAGGATATGAACAATGGGGCAAATGGAGTGCAGGGTTATCTCATCTGTGTGAAAACCGCTGGTAGAAATCGATGTGACCTCTGCTAGGCTGTCATCCCAGTCTCCACCCTCCGTCTCCTATTTGTCTTTTGGTGGGGAGCTTAGATCTGGATGCTGTCTCCCTGTGTCTCTCTTGGGCCAGATTATCAAAATGAATCATTGCCTGCATAGCTCTTATATTTCTATTTATTTTCCTGCTGTTGACTAGCTCGGGTGAAATATGATTTCTTTTTGCATTTGATCCTCACTGCAGCCAGCAGCACCTAATTTAGCCGTGTCTATCTCTTTAAAGAAGACTAATGCCATTTTGAAACTTCAATCTACTCTACAGCAACATTACTAACCATAGACGGTGTGCCCTGTCTCTGCAGTCAATATGAATTTTCCTTTTGGCCATTTTAATAGCATTACTTTCCCCCACCCTCCCATGCCCCCCCTTCCCAAGCAGTTGAGGTTTCTAGATTGTTTTAAGCAGTTTATCCACAATTCATTCATTGCGCCCGCTCGCTTGCTCTCCCCCTCGTCTTTCCCTCCACCTCTCCAAGATGCGTTTAGTTTACCTTGCTTCACAGAGGAGTGGTTTTGGGCATAAACAATTAATTTTAATGACTTGACCCTGCATATGAATTATTTGAGCATGAGAAATGGTATGTAGTCTTTGACTTGGGAAGAACTTGTTTTAAGTGTGTAACCAGAGGATAGGGTTGGGGGGAATAGCAGAAAGATTGATCATACCTTCTCATAAAATATTAACCAAACTGATGTGCTGAGAAGACAGAATCTTATTAGAAACTCTGAGAAATAATCAGATAATAATAGTGATAATGACAGTGGTGGTGGTAGTAGTAGTAGTAGTAGTAGTAGTAGTAGTAATGGCATGCATAAGAAATGGAAGAAATGGGAAATCACAAAGCAAGAATATAACCCAAGTAGCCAACAGTTACAGGGAGAAGGTCAGGCAGGCCAAAGCTCAGAATGAGCTCAGGCTTGCAAGAGAGGTTAAAAATAACAATAAAAGGTTTCTTTGGCTATGTTTGAAGCAAGAGGAAGAGCAAGCAAGTGGTAGGTCCTTTGTGTAGAGAAGATGGAGAAATGCTATTGGGTGACAGAGAGAAGGCGGAACTGTTCAACACCTACTTTGCCTCTGTCTTCATCAAAAAAGAAAGCAATGCCCAGCCTGGTGATAACAGAATAAATATTGTAAGGAGGGTGTTGCAGCCCAAGATAGGGAAAGAGGTGGTGAGGGAATACCTAGCTACTTTCAATGAATTCAAACCTCCAGGGCTTGATGAGTTGCATCCAAGGGTACTAAAGGAGCTTGCAGATGTAATCTCAGAGCCTCTTTCTATAATCTTTGAGAATTCTTGGAGAAAAGCTGAGGCCCCTGTGGATTGGAGGCAGGCAGACATCGTCCTCACCTTCAGAAATGGGAGAAAAGACCCAGATAACTACAAACCAGTCAGCTTGATGTTGATACCAAGAAAGGTGCTAGAACACATAATTAAACAGTCAGTCTGTGAGCACTTAGAAAAGGATGCTGTGATTACTAAGACCCTGAAGGGGTTTCTTAAAAACAAGTCATGCCAAATGAATCTCTTTTGTATAGAGAGTTACAAGCTTCATGGATCGGGGGAATGTTGTAAACATAGTGTATTTTGATTTCAGTAAGACTTTTGACAGAGTTCCCTGTTATATTCTTGTGGAGAAGCTGGGAAAATGTGGGCTAGACAAGGTAACAGTTGGGTGGATTTGTAGCTGTTTGACTGATTGTACCCAAAGAGTGCTTACTAATGGTGCCTCATCATCCTGGAAAAAGGACAAGTGGGGTGCCACCGGCTTCTTTTGTTCAATGTCTTTATAAACAACATGGATGAAGGAATAGCGGGGATGTTCATCCAGTTTACAGATGACACCAAACTAGAATGGGTAGCTAATACTGCAGAAGACAGAATTGGGATTCAGGATGACTTGAACAGATTAGAGAACTGGATCAAAACTAACAAAATTAATTTCAATAGGGACAGATGTTTTGCTCTATACTTAGGCAGGTAGAACCAGCTACACAAATATATGATGGTGGACATATGGGTTGCCAGTAGCACATGTGAAGAGGATTTAGGGGTCTTAGCAAACCACAAGCTTAACATGAGTCAACAGTGTGATGCAGCAGCAAAAACAACTGTTATTCTAGGCTGATTCAACAGAAGTATAGTTGGGAAGTCATAGTACTGTTGTATTCTGCCTTAGTCAGACCCTGCCTGGAGAACTGAGTCCCGTTCTGGGTGCCACAATTTAAGAAAGATATTGACAAGCTGGAACGTGTGTGCCTAGAAAAGAGGAGACTTAAGAGGAGATATGAGAGCTGACTCCAAGTATTTCAAGGGCTGTCATATGGAAGATGGAGCAAGCTTGTTTCTTCCTTCTCCAGAGGGTAGGACCCAGTGCCTTGAAGTTACAAGAAAAGAGATTCTGACTTTCTGACAGGAAGAGCTGTTTGATAATCATTGGAGGTTTTTAAGCAGAGGTTGGATGGTCATCTCTCATGGCTGCTTTAGCTGAGATTCCTGCATTTTAGGGGGTTGGACTAGATGACCCCCTCAGGGTCCCTTCCAGCTCTACAATTCTGTGATTCTATAAACTTCACTCCTAAAATCTGTGCACCCTGCCTCAGAGCCTGGAGAATCATTGCTAGAATTTGTTGCTGTTGTTGTTAGTGTAGCACTTAATGCCGAAATAGGCTTCTAACTGGTTTACATGAATAAAAACAAATTACACAAACATTAAAATACAGAGCTACATAATTAAAATGCATACTGAGCAATCCTATTAATCCATTAAAATATAACATCTAGAATTAAAATATGAAATAAAGCAATCCTATAAATATAAAATATTCACGTACAGGGATGCATGAATCAGTGGCCTGACTTCACATGGCTGTATGGCACCTTCATACAGGATACAGAGCTGTCCACCCGTTACTAATTTCTGAACTTGCACAGTGTGGTTACAGAATACACACAGCCCCAAATTACCATTGTTACATGATCACTGAGTATCGCAAAGGGGATTAAAAAGAATTACGCATTGAATTCATCCATCCATCAAAAAAGGGCGATGGAGCAAAAATCAGATTTCTTTTAATCCTTTTTAAATCAGCAAGAGTGAAACAATATGACCAACGAGAAGCAAAAATGACTCTCAACGCAGTGAAGATTGTGCACAGTCTTTGTTTTATGTAAAATCCAGCAGTTTTGACTGTATTTTAAACATTACATGATTATAGTTAGTATTATACCTGTTGTTAGAACCAAATTACTTCTCATTACTCCATTCTGTTTTTTGCTTTGTTTATTTAGGACAAAGTAGTCTCCGAGTTAAAAAAAAAAAAAAGTTATCTCATTTCTTTCCTTCCTTTAATTGTTCCTTTCTGGAACTGCAAGATGACCTCATTTGATTTGATTTTGATTTGATTTATTGTATTTCTATGCAATTTCTAAAATAATTAGCAAATTATCAGTAAACAATTACAATGTATAAAACAATCTAAATATCACAATTACAGCGAAGGTCATATTGTATAACAGATATATTACATAACATTATATATCATAGTATGCAACAAATATTTATAATCTGTAAAACAATGTTAACAACAAAATAGCAGCTAAGTAAACAAGGTAAACACTGTTAAGTTCACAAAGTCTCTCTCCACTCTTCCATAACTCCTAATACAGTATTTTACTCCATTCAGTTCATTAAAATACACATGACGCCCATTGCTAAACCAGCTTGACAAATGCTGCACTAGCTGAAGTCCTCAGGCCATGGTGGAGTCTGTGAGGCTCTTGGGCCTATTGCCAATGGTAAGGTGAATATTGACTCCGAGTAGCCCACCCAGGTGCTATCGATGAAGAACTCATCCCTGTGGCCCTTGATAATAATGAGATCCATTCCCACCTGAGTGGGAAGTCCAAGATAGATTAGATAGATTTATTTATTGCGGCCATTGGCCCATATCGAAAACAATACATCAGAATTTATCCATAAACAATACAATTTAAACAGTTCCAAGTTAAAACACCCTTATAAAACCGATTTTACTTTAGTTT